ATCTAGTATCGTGACGCGATTACGATCAGTCATAAATTAAAAAATGGTCTTTGCACTTGGTGTCATGACGCGATCATGACCGTTGCTTTGTTTTTACTAATATGAAGATGTCGACTCAATTATGATAATAAGGGACTCGAATGCCTTAAACTCACATACAGACATTCAATAACGAGCCTCTAACGTGTGGTTTGCCAAAAACCCACGACAGCAAAAACTGTACCGGAGCCATCAACGTCAAATTCAACTAACCAACAGAATTTAAATACTTCTATGAAAACTCACACGATTGTCAGGCCACTCGTATACCCACTGATTCTACACATATTAGGAAATTCAAAGATAGAAGAGGTTTTTACCACGAATCCAGCAAGAAATCTCTAAACGCTGGGGACGTATATTATGTGAGGGTCTAAGTAAGGTCCCAAAGAAAGAGGTTTTGGAAAATATTCTAGTACCTGAAAATTTTGAATTAGTTAAGGCTCCAAACTTAAACCCCGAAATAGCGGGTGTACAGACTGATTCGACTAATAATCGTGACAAACGTTTAGAAAAACCCCAACAATTATCTCGGTCTTGGAATATCGGCTTTAACCAGATTGATATCTTCGCTTATTGAGAAAAATAAGTATATAATGAATAATGATATCTTCGCTTATATATAAAAATAAGGATCATATGCAGATAATTAAAAGCGTATATAAAATCTTTTTGGATTTATATTTTACACGTACGCTCAACTGTAGGAAAATATATACAAAAAAAAATATATATATATATATATATATGCAATATATACAAAGAGACTCGCTGATTTTTGGAGAAAATCTTACTGAAAAGATGAAATGCATGAAAGCTGCTGTGAAATGAGTCCTTCAATTTAATAGGGCTAACACATAAGTTCCAAAACAGTAATAAGTCAACAGGAAAACACAATCGTGGCAACAGATGAAGTGGGGCCAAGTCTCGATGGACTTATCGCTCCACTAGACGACCTGCTCCAACTCCAACGGGCCACTACCAGGACTGGTCGAAAACACGACCCAAGTCTCAACCGAAAAGTCGATAGAGGTACTTAAACATACAAATTACTTCATAACTGGAAATATATTACAAAGGACTTGGTTATAGTTAATATAATTACAGGTTATTGCACCTTACTATTGAAAACCAGTATTTCAAAAGGTAGAACCTTAACAGGTTGTTTTTTGATTACAAGTACATTAGAAATTAAAAAGACAAACCTGGCGCTGATTATGGCGCGATTATATCTTGGAAGAATACGCCAGGTCAATTTATATCAAAAATATTCCTCATACCTAAGGCTATCGATTTACATTGAATCTGAAAACTGGTAATAAATTTCTTAATTATAATCATTTTAAGATAACTGCAACTAAGTTAATGTTTCAAGAATGTTATATTACTACTAGAAAGTACTAAAATCGGTTACCTCATTTCTTAGGAATAAGGGTTTACTTATAGTTAATTATTAGATGACTTTCTCTGTTTAGGCAACACATACGATGATTGTCTCAATTGCGTCACACAAACGGTAAATTTATTAATCAATTTATCATTTGTATTTATGAAAAAAGTCATTTGATTTTTAATCTGCGGTAAAATTTTTTTTGTTGAATTGAGATCAATTCAATAACCTCGACAATTGAACTCTGCATTGAGAAATAATACTACGTAAATATTCAATCTTGCCAATGATATATCTATAAAGAGATATGTCAATCGAGATCATGCAAAAGTTCTCTGTATACAGTATGTCCGACTGTAGAATACGGTTGAATGTATACAAAATTTTTTTTAATGGACAAATTTTTGCTTTGAAATATGCCAATAATTACGACTGTATGATGTTATTAGATAATAATTGAAATTTGAATATGAATTTATTTAGTGGAAATTCAAATACAATAATGTATATATATATATATATAATATTGAGATGTACAAATTTCGTAACAATCGATATGCTTTAGATATTTTCAGATGCATTCTTTACTGGAAATGTATGGGGACATTACTGTATGTATATGTATCATGTGTAATGGTGAACGTTCCAATGGCTTCTGGAACTCAAAAGAGATCCAGAATCATTAGTTTATTAAAACGGAAAGTGGTATTTATCGGTTTTATATGTTTCGCTAACAGAACACGGAATTCTGAAATATTATTACGGATAAACAACACAGTTGCTATTACATTAATACAATGGGTAGAATTAAGTTCACTTATTTAAATGATAGCTCTGTAAGTGGTGTGAGAAACGGCAACTACATATATATTTTTGCCTTATCAGGTCCAAGAAAATACAGAGGCTGATGAAGGGTCCTCAAGAATGAACATTGACACAGAATGCAATTTATCTTCTACTGTTTAATGATATTGTTATCAAATCTGGAAAATCTGATATTGACTTACTCTCAGCGCGTTTGAACGCCAAATGTAAAAATTACGTATCGAGGAAGAGGAATAATCCATCCGTTTCAGTGTGACTTCTTTACAATAGATTGGAGTTCATATTACTCTTAGGCATTTCCTTCCTTTATTTTTAAATGTCTTCTATGCAAAATAATAGATGACAAAGCAACTGATATTATAGTAGTACCATATTGGCCAAGTCATCCATTGCTACAATCTTTATTACTTCAAGAACTTATATATTTCCATCCTAATGTAAATTTATTACCATCTCCTTCCACAGACCCTCACCGAAAATGGATGACACGTGGTATTATGTTTATTATCAGGTTAGCTTTCGCACGATAGTCACTCCATCAAGAAATGATCAATATTATAATATCATCTTTATTGAACAATTCGCTCAAACAGTACAATGTGACATTTAAAAAAAAAAATCGATGGATTTTCTGTAAGGAACGAAACAGAGACCCGTTACAGAGAGATTTACTTTTATTATTAGAATTTCTAACTTATGATTATAATGATGGTGCCAGTTACTTAATTTTAAACACATATCGCTCTGCACTAGCTTTATTATTTGATAAAACTTTCAGAGGATGTCACATTTTTGTTAGTCTGTTACATTCTGTTAATATCATAGTTATTTGTTTCTTAAGGAGTGTTCAAATCTAGACCTAGTTTTCCAACATATCAAACCACTTGAGAGCCAAACATAATATTGAACTTTGTATGAAATTTATTCCCGAATGAATCGTTAGCATTACCTTAATTACAAAAAACAAAAATTTGTAATACTTGCACTGTTTTTAGGACAATGTCTTCAAGGATTATTATTGATAAAATTTTCTGATATAGGAGTAGATAATTTAATTGTAAAAATAGGGAGTAAAAATATAATTAAAACGTCAACACCTGGTCAACCAATGCCTTAAATTGCAATTCTTTTTATTCTTACCTTGGTCCTGCAAGGACGCTATTATCGTATATGGAAGCAACAATGGTTAGAGATACGGGATGAATATAGAACGTCTTTTCCTTACTACCTAAATACCGATCCACAGTTCTTCGACTATTAACAAATGGATTAAAGAGATTCACAGAGAAACACAGTATTCTGCACACAGTACACGTTTTGAATGCACTTCAGTAGCTCACAGACAAGGTGTATCAATGGATCTAATCAAAAACAATGCTGGTTGATCTGGAAAGGGTTTGATATTTGCAGAAATCTATAATCGACCTTTGTCTCCTAATGGTGATGAGAACATCTTGAAGAAACCGTATATGATTGATTACCCTGTAACATTAATAATTACAATAATAAAATTATTGTTTCAACTTTCAGATTCTACAGTGTAATAAAATTATCATCTAAATATTATTTAACTTTTAATTTGCGTTCTTATTTAGAAATTTCGTAATGTACTCTAAACATCCTACCTGGTGAATATTTAAATCTCGAGGATGCAACGTCGAAGTATAATTAATGGTTAAACAAACTTACCTTTGTGACGTTTGACCATAATTATATAAGACGTTGCATCCGAAGAGATTTATAACCCCCCCATAGGTACCCAAATCCTTTGTAATGAATACAAAGTCATACCCTTGTCTATACATTGCGAAATTTCACTCTAAAAATAATGAAGCAACGGCGGAGTGGTGCGACATATATAGTGCAACTAAGGGAGTCGTTTAAATACTTTTTATTTACTATTGACTCTAAAATTGTGCTTGATGCCCAGTACATTGAAGAGTGGACTACCTGGTGAATATTTAAATCTCTTCGGATGCAACGTCTTATATAATTATGGTCAAACGTCACAAAGGTAAGTTTGTTTAACCATTAATTATACTTCAGCTGTATCTAATTCTGATTAATGGAATATGACATATAAAAGCGAATCGGTGTTAATGATCACATTAGATACGTAAATCATAATATATTATTACAGCTGTGACTAACTTTGTTTTATAATATATTATATAATGTACCTATATATATTTTACCGTAAATAATAGATATAATATATATTTTCATTATAATATATATATTAGTTATTGTACGATTGTTCGAATGATTTTGACATTTGGAAGGCATGAAGGAAGTATGTATAAATAAGGATAACAGTTGTACTCAAGAGTTATTGTTCTGGATGTTTTATTCTTTTTATTTATATAATTTTAAAGCACACAGTACAAAAAGTAACAGTAGATTTGACGGACTTAATATCATGCGGTATTTTCGACCAGTCAACCATAGATAGTGCTGAGAATAATTGTTGGCGGCGGAAAAAAAAACTTAAAAAAAACAAAGCATTAAATGTGTTACAATATTTATACTATTACATTTATAATACTACATTGTTTTCTGTAATTACGACAATAATTGTATCAAAATATAATAGGTTATGATGTACAACGTACGAGTATATAAAATAAATTTTATATATGAAAAACTGTATTATCTAGTACATAACTGATATTGATGTTTATATTGGAACTAAATGGAAAATAAATTTTATAAAGAAATTGTATTAAATTTTTTTTATTTGTTCCAGCTATCGCCTTGTGCGCCTTCGCAGCAGAGATTGACAAGAAACAGGAAGCGGAAACTGCAGAAGTAGCAGACAATAAGAATAAAAGGCAAACCCAGCAGGAATACGTGCCAGGAGTGTTGTATAGAGTACCTAGGAAACAGGTAATTTATTACCTACTCTAATTTTTTTTTATGTCATTGTGACATGGCAAATAATCTGATAGCCCACCTGATGAAAAGTGGTAAAGGAAGAGCACCAGAAACATCACGTTATCAGATGACACCCGTGATACTACTCATGTGTTGGAATAACAGAGGATATCATGCTAAGACTAAGAAGTCACACCTCCTATGTTGTAATTGGTAGTGTCTAATAAATTTATAATTGCGAATATAAATTTATTAAATACTATTCACTAAGACTCTCATCCTAATCCTAAACAAAAAATATTCATTCTAAGTAATTTTCAACCCAAAAATCTGCATTAGTTATCAAGTACCTATAACCAATGCGATAGGTCAACGAACGATTTACCAAACCAACCACAAATAAAAAAAAACAATTTACTGTTTCAGATTGACGATTAAGTCCATATTAATGTTATCGACACCTCTATAAAACTTTTCTTTTCTAAATATAGAATTCAGTTCAAAAGGAAATGAAATTATTAAAAAAAATGCTAATTATATTTTATACAAAAACCATTATCGGTTAATTGTAATGCATAATACACTAGCATAAAGAAAGTAAAAGTGGAAATTTACTTTGTACACACATCGCGCACGGTCAGCGTGAGAACAGGAAGTTAATAACCTCTTATTATCAGAAGATTGGGGTGCAATGAAAATAATAATTTAATAAAATGTACCAGTATCATATTTAAATACTTGAATAAGGAAATATAATTATATATCAATTTTGAAGAGTCCTTTTCATCCGGCTCAATCACTCTTCCTAAATTTCAAAGAATATCTAGTCTAGACAAATGTTATAATAAAACATTAGAAAGATTAAATTTTACGTTTATAGTGTAAAAATGAAACAGACATCCCTATATTTCACCCGTACAAATTCGATAAATATTTTTTTTATTTATTTGTAAAGAAAAAAGGAATCATTATACTTGAACGCCTTTTAGATAGTTCTAGCTAGCTTGATTATCCATAGGCTGTATTATAAAAGGGCAAAGACACAGTATACACTAGTAATTTATAACTGTATACTATCAAAATTAATTATATTGACTGGATCCAACAACATTTACAACTTCCTCCCGATACAAATAGGCATAGGTCACACAACATCTAAAGTTCATGCGTCGTCCAGCTCTGTACCATTAGCCTTGCTTGCAAATTGCCATTGCAATGTAACTGAGAGAATACATTAGCAATAGGTCAGTTAGGGACTACTAGTTAGCCTGTGTTCACATTTGTAACTTTTACTCACGTAAAGTGAAACTTATGTAAACATGCGATAAAATTAATAAAAAATATTTACTTAGAAGTCAGATAGTCTTATTTTTTAATATGGTGATGACAATGGAATGTTATACCTCCCTACGCTATAGACGCTGACGTAGCTCTGGTGGAAGATGATAAGATAAGCATGAAGTAATCGTTAATCCTATCATTAAAATAATATTATTAAAATTTCTAAACGGAAGCAGTGAAAATTAACATTTCAGAGATACACTGTAAAAAGTCATCAACTGGGTATCTCTGTCTTATAGCTGTATTTCAGTTGTAAACTGTATTCTTGTTTCATGACCTCTTAATCCATGCGCTGCCAATGCCAAAGAATGAATTGGCAATGAATAAGTGGTATCGCTAATGTCATATGATAATATGACATCCGTAGTTCTGTTTATATATATATATATATAGGCGACAGATACTATTTATACAGCCATAACGTGGTCTGTCAATTTATTTTCCATTATATAAAAAAATAAATATGTCTACACTGTGGAGTAAGTAGGATGAGAGGGAAACCATGAATCGGCTGATATTGATATGTATAACGGATGTTCAATCGCGCTTGGACGACTGGATGGTTGAACGGATTTGAATAGTAGATATTCTTGAGAAATAAATGTTGGGTTGAACAAAATATCTACTTACATACAGGTCAAATTGTAATGGGTATGTCAAGCCAAAAAGCAGGAAAAATACTCAATAAACTAAATCACTTTGAATAATAAATAAGCTTGTATTTTCTATACTAAATTGATTGTGTGACCATGTAATTTGTATGAAAACAAAATCTATTTTTTCTTTAGTTCTAGTGTAAATTTGTGCAATTTCATAATATATTATTGGGTTTCGGCCTTAATACAATGCCTGTACTACTAGTCCATGTTTAACATGGTAATAAATTGTGGACTAAATCCTCAACTTACGAGGGCAGAACTGTACCTCACAGTGGGATCATAATAGGTTCTTGGGCTGATAGAGATTATGACTCACTTAGTCTACTATTGGTCGTAATTTATGCAGACATAGCCACAGCTGGTGGATAGTGAAGCCAGCGCTAGAAAATAAACCTGAATATTGTATTAACTTTATTTAGACTGGTTTTTGTGCAAAAAAATAATTCAAATTAATCGTTTTTATCGGTCCTGTAGGTAAAAATGTTATTAGTATAAATTACTATGAAGAATTCTTCAATAAATTTACATAGGTATCAAATAGTATTGAATAAAGTAAGACGTAAATTTTACTTCAATATTTACTGCGTCTACTTGCACATTTCACCAAAATACTAATATTTAAAGAATTCAATTCAGCTTCAAAACTTGTTAATCAGTATTTGATAAATAGAACTCTTAAATATATACGCAGATACTTAAAATATTATGAGCGATGCTGTGAAACTGATTAATATTATTCTAATGGTAATTATTTCAATATTATGCAACAGACTCTTCGATAAACAAATTAGTTTACAAACTGTTTGTCTACTTGGCCAGTGAATTAAAACGGTTTACGACCAAACCGATAATGTACCGAGACGCCCTTTCACTTTTGTGCCCTAGATTTCGTCACGAACTCGCCAGTCCTTTGGCTGATATTCTAAATAGCATGGACCATCGGAAAATAGAAGTTACAATATGTATTTATTATTGTTTTTCTATAGTTACAAAGAATACTTCTGTTATCGTACGGGACTGTATGAATAGTCAGAAAGATTAAAGAGAAGATCAAATAAGAACATCATATTTTAACAAATATTTAACTAAGAATAAAATACTCTACATATACAAATATTATACAACAAAACAATAACTATAAAAATTATATTCAAAACGAAAGAAAAGATACCTTGCGGTTGCCGTGATATAAAAGGAGGAATTATATGTTGAAAGAATTTATACAGAATAACGAATAGAGAAATTAAGGATCGCTACAATGACATGACAACTCATAAATTTTTTCAGTAGAAGATTTATAAATTAGAGGTTTTTCTTTTCTCTTAGTATTAGCATATGTTATCTGTGGTATTAGACTACATGTTTTAAGCATAACGTCATTTAATAATATCTACTTATCTAATTCGATTTAGTATTGTGTGCCATAACACACGTGTTATAAGTTGAAAATTTACTATCAGGTTTTTCAAATAGACGATAAAGCACAGTTAAAGATAATAAAAAAGTCTTAATCTAGTGACGACGACAAAGAACCTACAAAATCTTTAAACGTTGAAATTAAATACCTAGAAAATCATTCAACAGGCATTTAAGAAATATATAAAAGTATTCTGGAAATAACATTGCTTTATATATCCGATTAGGAACGATTAAACTATTGCTGGGAAAGACATGGGCGGATACCGTACATACATTTTGTAAATATCTACCTTCCTTCATTCTCTATTTATAGCTAATCTTTTACTTGAATAAATTTTATGGAACTTACTAAAGGCATTTAATCAGAGATAAATAGACATTGTTTAATATTCATTGAATTTTCTGAAGCGTTCCTAAAGACTTTCCAGGAGATGGATGTTTGAATTATTTTTTAATCGTTCTTTATTGTATACATATTTCTTTAATTTTAATACTTAAAATATATTTTTTTATATAAATGAATGAATATAGAATATAAACCCTAAGTTACGCCTTAACTATCTAAATATACCGACGTCAAATAATATACTTTCAAGCTCAGTCGTATTAAAAATGAGTTTTGATGGTTTTATTGAGCTCATATTCTCGTAACATACCTAATGAAAAGGACACATCTGTTTCAATAATTCAAATGGTATTAATTTTAAGTAAAATGGATAACAAAAACACCCTGGTTAATAAAAATGGATTTTGTGTTTATAACTTTCATTATTACATAGTATAAAACAAAGTCATTGTCGCTGTCTGTCCGTCCCTATGTATGCTTAAATCTTTAAAACTACGCAACGGATTTTGAATCGGTTTTTTTAATAGATACAATGATTAAAGAGGAAGGTTTATATGTATAATACATGTACACCCGGGCGAAGCTGGTGTGAGTTGCTAGTTTATATATATCACCCAAATTGGGGTCTAATTTAATTTCAAATTTGTTCAATTTGCGGTTCATTTTTCCTTATATTTAAGTCCCCAAACTCTAATCATTTCGCTTGCTGAGAAAAATCCATTATATCTGTTCTGCGGGAGTATAATAATTCCGGGATAATTCCACTAAGGGCTTTTTTGTGCACTTTCTATTACCTAACTTAAAGTGGCAACTATTCCGAATATTATTATTTATAGAACTACTATTAGAGCGTGTAGAGAAGAATGTAATATTAATTACATTCTTTCATAACGAAAATGAACAAAACTATTTACTTTCATTCCGTATAGTGCATCGGTATTATTAAAATCAAGTTTATGAGGTCAGACTAACTTTTGATCACGTAATACCGACACACTCTGCATCCATTAAAGAATGTCAAGTTCAATTCGTTGTATAACAAGAAGATTTCATTTAGGTTTTATACCTAATGCTTGCGTTTATTAAAAAACAACTCAACACTATGTCGGCGCTATTTCATGATTCCGTATGGTTTTAATATCTTGATCTCTTAGAAGCTTTTATAATCGAATATATGTATATATATATACTAGCTACTCGCCCCGGCTTCGCCCGGGTGTTCATGTATTATACCAATAAACCTACCTTCAGAATCACTGTATCCATTTTAAAAAACTGCTTTAAAATTCGTTGCGTACTTTTAAATATTTAAGCATACATAGGGACGGACAGACAGCGACCGCGACTTTGTTTTATACTATGTAATGATATATAATAATAAAGGTATTATTTTATAATAAAGATGCCACACACAGATTTTAATTATCTTAGTTATCTATACTATTGAATTAAATAGATATTCAAATTAAGGACCTATGCATATTTACAACGACAGTGGTTATTGAACCATCCTCGTTTATTAGTTCTAAAAAGTTCCCTTAAACCCCTAGTTCAGAGGTAGGCTCCAATTTGCAAGTCAAATCTTAAGTTGAATAGGGACTTCCGATCCTATTCAAAATATTCAATGTTCCTAATACAAAGATCTGTGCTGACGAATTGTTTTTTATTACAATTGGTTCTTGTACAGAATTGATAATGGTCAGTACACCTACGTTTAATTAATATTACTAGGTACTTTTTAATGTTTTTAAAAACTAATTTTATATTACTTCCATTTCTTATCTAACTTAACTAACTTTAGAGAAAGGAGTTTTCACTTCGACTTTATTTTTAGGTGTGTAACCTCAGAACTTTTTTCTGCGTGGACCGAATTTGATATTTTTTTAAGAACTCACGCTTCTCAAGTAGTCCCATATAAATTTAAATAAGATCTGTCCCGTAGTTTTTGAATATAATTGAATTCGGTTTTTATGTTACCTGACTGAACACGGTATTAATTTTCGAAATATTCTAATGCTGTTGACCGCAACTGGCCTTTACAACTTTACCTAACGATTGTATTGTGATAATCATTAATAATCTCATTCGTATTCTTTAATACAAATTTTAGGAGGCATAATTTGTAGTTAGCATTTTTTGGTATGAGTCATTATTGAACTCGAGTACCAACTGGTGGGAATTTGACCTAACACAGTTATAATTACGGGTGAAAGACTTTACTTTTCCAAATAGCAATATCATCGTTCTATTGAACTTTCTCCAAATAGTTGACGATGTTTTTATCATCATATTGTAGAATATGTAGGTAACGATTTAATAATGGATTATTATTAATATTATACATCATGTCCCGTTAGTTACAAGGCACTGATCAAATAAAGAAAAAAACTGAAAATAAAAACCTACACCGCCTGATCAGCCTGTCAATGATATGATACCCATACCCGATCCAGTGATTTCGTTCAATATTTCGATTGTTAAACTATATAATGATTAATTAATTACAGCCTTATAAAGTCTTTTTATACTAACATTATAGCTATGTAACAGTACAGCTATCCTTCTATGCAATAAATATGTATGTATTCATCTAGGCATTACGACATCTTAATATCTTATTTAATATTACTGCGTCAGTTTCAAAACGAATACTAAACAAAAATAAATAAATAAACTTATAAAAACAATGTTATTATATATATTAATAGCAGCTACAATAGTCCCAAGTTGCAACATCCGTCGTAATGAGGACGCGAAATAACAGTTTGACAGAGCGTTCCGTAGCTATTGCAACCGTTAATAACACGTTGTCCCGACTGAGGAATGCCCTGTTATTTTGTAACTGTCGCAGAATAAAGAAATATCATGAATGACGCCGTTTTGTTGCGAAACACGGTACATCGTTATTATATATACTTTTTTATATTTAAATGTAGTTTTTTTTTTATTCTTTTTTATTGTTATTGGAATATAACTTGGGGGTAGATGGTAACCTGCCTATTTGTATATGAACAGTACTATATATCATTCTGTAATTTGTCTCACTGTTTAATCGAAATATCTTTCAAAGCAAGCTGCTTAACAATTGTAATAAATAAAGACTATGATATCCATGCGGACGGCTTTAAATAAAGTTCAACTCGGTATGTATAATTGTTTTTTTGTATAAACTTTACCAGTACTTTAAAGTATCTATAATTTAAAAAATTAATTGAAGACGGAATACAGAATGAGATGGATTATTTAAAAGATTTATTATCGATATCTAATAGCTCTGCGTACGCTTTGATATTATCTATCAATGTTCCAAATTTCTTTCAAATCCCTCCAACCTTATAAGCATGATTGAGCAACGAATATCCAAAAATACAAACTTTCACATTTATAATATTAATAGGATTTCTGTCTTAATAATATATCATAGTAAAAGATTATTACCCAATCAATATGACCTCGATTGCAAAGGATATGCCGGAATATTTGTCTTAAAAATGCGAATAATTAATATACGTTGTCGTTTTAATATGTTTATTATTTCCGCGAAAATAACTTAACGCATCAGTTACACAGTAATCGCCAAGTTGCTCATAGCTTATGAAACCGTTTGCATGTGCATGAGTGCAATTATAATATACATTGCATTACATACATTAGTATTGTTTCAGACTTTCGACTTTTTGGATGGTTACATTTTTATAGTCTGACACTAATTCATAATTAACCAAAGGAACACTGTAACAAGTTGTCTGCATAAAAACCTCAGTCTCACTTATTTCAGGGGTCAAGCAGCTTGCTTTGTAAGCTGTATTGTGGTCATAGGGTGTACATTAGGCAATGAAATTACAAGATAAGGAGCGTGATATTCCAGAGCCCTCTGGAATACTATGCATGTGTGGTATCGCGGATGCACATGATAATATGATGTCCGTAATGGCGTTGATAATTTTTGTCATTCCAATTACATAATTCTTATTAAGTTTTTTTTTTGTAATTGAAAGCAGTATAGTGACCACCCGTCAATATATTTACTCAAACTTTATTATGCAATAATTAATTACAATGTTATTTGAAATGAGTAAGACCAGAGTTTCTTATCAGTTCTTCTTAGATCAATCTACATTGCGAACTAACGGAAGATTGCTTTGTCATAAGTGTCTGTAATAGACCTACAAGAATAAAGATATTTTGATTAGATTTGAAGTGGGATCAACGTCCGCATTGAACAATTGTCCCTCAAATAATGACCGCTAACAGCGTTACATTGTTTTTATTTTCCTTGGCTTTCACCACGCGCGCCTCTAATGTAATACTTAATTGCCCACCACTTGTATTATGCCATCCACTCATGACGGCGTTCGCAGAGGCCACTTCCAGCCAATTGTTACAGTTTTTACCACGTTGGGAATTAGTTTTTGTAAGTTTCGTGAATAACCTTCCGTTGTTTACACGGTTTTTAGTTTGGCCAAGTCTTTGAAAGATCTTTTCTCCATTCTCGCTTTATATGTCACACATTTCCTAGTTTTACAATTAGTTAGTACAACTATTTATATTCCATTGTTACATTTTATTACTGCAGAATATATATTAAAAATAATATGTGTGTTAAAGGAAAGAAGGGATAGCACACTATCGGTCCCATTGCTAATTATGTATGTCAGGATGACCTCTACTTGGAAACCATTATTGTCACTTCGATGAGCTAACTGACCTGACTCCATGTTAATCCTATCATATTCCATGGTGCCCCGCCAGCTTAATTTAATCTCTGAATTGAAATAATTTGTTTATATTTTGTTTCCTTTCAGAAAGCTGCACCCGTTCAGGAATCCCAAGAAGATGATAGAAATGCAAGGTAGAGTTACATATTTCAAGATTTATTATTTTAGTGCGACCTTGCGAAGTATGTAAAGTACCTATTGGTCTATTTTCGAGGCAGTGTTCTTACAGGATAGCCCAATATTTTTATAATATAAAGAAATAAGACACATTATACAATACAAGGTGATTTAATTAAGTCGATTCGATATAACATTTTCAATTAATATTATTTAATACTAGCGGCATATGGATTAACACGGGTACGGTAAAAATATTATATAAAGATACGAATAATTTGAACCTATAATATGTAAGTAGGTATAATGTTATTTTTCAATGCATTTCATCAATTTGAAATTTGATAAATTTGTATTGCTATAACGTGTTAATTTATCCTTTCTTTACATCGTCAGATCTGATGCAGAAGAATATCGACCTGGACAGGTGATCTCCCTAAACCCACAAGAGCTTCTAGAGCTGCAACCAGAGAGGAAGGCTCCGCTTAGCGGCAATCAGCTCCTTCAGCAGCTGTACAGCCCACAACAACAACAGGATCAGAAACCAGCTCCTCAGCAGTTCTTCTACTTAGAACCGCAGACTGCTAGACAGGTATTTTTATTTTTACCTTAACAATCTTTAGTTGTAATACAATTGTAGTAGAATTTCCTTTTTAATATACTATTCGTTTTTTGTAAGCGAAGTAATTAAACAAGCACGCGCTATTTCTATAGAAATAAACTCATATAGTGGCATCTGTTGTTTAGTTGGTAGAAACAATGGAAGCACTTCAACAATGGCGAGATAAATTAATAAGACATTTAAAATAGAACTTCTGTCCTATCTTATATTTATTATACTTATCGTAGAGCCTTACAATATGTATATTATGGTGTCGACTATAAGGATTTTAGAACAATAACTGAAATAGATATTAGTATGTCAAAGATTTTCTGCAGATCCTCACTCCAGTGGAACTTTCAATCATTGTCCTTATTTTAGTTTTGCACACTTTAGTCAGAAAAACAGACTTGATACTCATAAGTGTGCGGAATATTAAATGCAATCATTAATTTACTTAAAAATACATTCACTTATTATTTTCTTGTACACATAATAAGTATAAATATAATGTTTTTTTACGAACAACAGAATTATATATGATCGTCACCACATTAGACGGCGTTGCATTGTTATCGGGCGAGAAATCAAGGAATAGCGCACTACACTGGGCATTATTCAACATGAGAATTTGTTCTGAACCTATTATACACGTCTTTGTTTGCGAACAAACACGGAATATATTATGTGTACTTATCTCAAAGATTCCACACATGATATACGAAGTAGTGTGAGAATTGCTAGATTGTCTAAATTAAAAATTATTTAATTATAGGAACGCGCTTTATTTATGTTAAATTGGACTAGGTGTTAAAATTCTCCGGAAATAGTATATATATGGATAATGTAAGATATATGGATGAATATAATTGCGAAAGCTTTCTTATCACACAAAGAACTAACAAGAAACTTGCATGTTGTTCTTTTAAATAATTTAGTTGTAACTTTACATTTCTAAGTTCAAATATTACACAAGCTACCAACTAGCACTAATTGTATAATTTACTTTATATACTCGTACATTTAGATAATTATGCATTTTAGGTTGCCTACCAGCCATCGCATGCAGTGATTGCTCGTCCTCACTTCACATCGAATGGCGGTGAAGCGTCAGTAGGAGCTGCCCTATCAGTCAGCGATTCAGGAGCAAGTTCCTCAGACTCCTTCGATCAGGAACTACTGGCACTATTAAGTCATTCTCAAGTCAGAACAGAAGAACCCCGTCAACAGTACCAAACTCAGGTTCAACAGGCCGCGGCACAAAGTGTTGCACCACAATTTCAACAGGTAATTTGAAATTTAATCCTTTTTTTCTTCTTCTAATAATATCACAATCTTCAAATGAAATGATTGTTTCTATTATATGAAGTCCAAACATTTGTTTAACTTTGAACATCGAAAATAAATCATATTAGTTACAGGCTAAACAGTATAATATGTGTTTATTTATATTGTATAATATTCTTTCAGGTTGACAGATATATTACAAAGCCTAGCAAAAAGCCATCAAAACTGCGGCCAAAAGTCACCCCTCCTCAACCTCTTCCTGCGGGGGCACCTCAGCAATATTTAATAGAAACTACCAATGTCCAACAACAACAGCAACAACCACAGCAACTTCAAGTACAATATCGTCCTGCTCTACAGCCACAAAGACCTACACAGTCATTAAGATATGTACCAATTCAACCAGCTCAGGCTGCTGTTCCACAAGTTGTATATGAACGTCCAGAATCACAAGGTCTTAAAATAGTCCCAGCTCCAAAACTTGTACAAGAACCTCATCAACAACAGGTGGCATACAGATTTATACCTCAATATCAACAGCCTGAAGCTACTCCAAAACAATATAGAATTATTGATCCCTCAAGACCTCAAGTAACGAGGCCTGAACAAAGAGCCCCATCTAGCGCTGAGCGACCAGTAACATATTTAAAACGCTATCCAGAGCCAGAAAAAAATCGCGCTGTTAAAATATATGATCCGACTACTGTAGAGCTAGCAGCGGAGCGGCAAGCCCCTCAAGCAGGCGGTGAACAATATTATTTACGCCCCGTCTATAGAACGAACGAACAGCGTATCAGATATGAATCAGTGCCAGCCACATCTGCGGAACAAGTTCGCACCGTATTACCAACGAAAGCACCTCATTCTGCTATTTATGTGAGCAAAAACGTTGGTTCAAAGAAAACCAGACCACTCCCGGCTAGGCCGGACCAATCTGCAAGTAGTGAACAATCTGATCGAGAGCAGTCTCGACCAGAACATATTTCTAGATTAGAACAAGTTGCTAGAATAGAACATGCAGCGAGAGTTCAACAAGCTGCTAGAGCGGAACAAGCTGCTAGGGCAGAACAAGTTGCTAGGGCAGAACAAGCTGCAAGAGCACAATTAGCAGCGAGATCGCAACAAATCGCTCGTGTAGAGCAAGCTGTAAGAATACAAGCTCCGGAACAAGTAGGTATTGAGCAGTACGGTCAGAATATCGATGATCAACGAGCTCAATTACCTCCACCTAAAAACAATAAAGCTTACACACCAGAGGAATTCGCAGCATTAGTGGCTGCCGGCTATGCTGTTACTCCCATTCCAGTTAGCGCAATAAATGCTCAGCAAGCGCAATCTAGATCCTCAGAAGAAGTTCAAGTACCCCAATTGAAACACCGACCTATTTATAGGAGACCCCAGTATGTGCCTCTCAGAGGTGATGACGCGCCTTAAGAAAATTACCATATTGTACATATTTTTAGTTATAATTTTGTAAATTAATAAAATAGTGATATTTTTGTCTTGTTTTGTTTTAATGTATGTATGTATTTCATTATGTTAATGCCGTTATTTATCATGTGTATATAAAAATGAAGACTGCACTTGATTTTTCGTGTGGTTATGGAATACAAATACAATGTCACCGTTCTTTTTCATACCCAGTCAATAGAAATATAAAAAGCGAAAATTGAATAGAAAAGGATAATGTCATCATAAAACTATAAATTTCCAATGTTGGATTGTTACGTTTATATGAATAACAAAATTGATATGAAAGTTTTTTTTTTGTAAATAAATAGTAAAATTAGGGACGCTTATAAAATCAGATTACAGTAAATAAAAGTAATATAAAAACTTTAAGGCAATGACGCAGTATTTTTAAATTAATTAGATTTTCTTTGTAATTTATACACAAAGAAAAATCGCAGAATAACATTGTGATTATCGTAAGCATAATACTTTTTTATAAAACCACATTTAATAAAGCGTTAACCACGACAAACGTTTATAAATTCTATAATTTCAGTCAGTAATGCCAGACTGCCAGTTTGTAGCGATGGGGTAAACTTTTGGGGAACAAAAGTCCGGGGAAAAGGTCTTTTGATTAAAATGAACCAGAACTATGGAACAAGTAGCAGAAAAAATGTCATCAGGATATATAGTGTTTTTTTTTGACACTATGGTATAAGTGGTTCTTGTTTCAATAGACACCACTTATAACAGTGCAATGTATAAAATTATTACAATACTGTTAGAGAATATAATCCAATTGGATATATCTAGGATTAGTAGGCCTATAAGTTGTGCAATGAGTAGAAGGAACGAAAAAAGAGAAGAAAAGAGTAAGGAGAAATCCATTGACTTCATGTAATAATCAGTACAATCTACAATCTATTATTATAGTTTTGTATATTTCTGCGTGTTTCTAAATCATTAATTGTCTTGTAAATCTCATAACACTTTATATTTTCTAACCTTATTTTACTTTTCACTTATTTAATTTATGAATGTCTGCAAGTCTACGTTAGCTTGTTTTATTTTCATTACTACATCACGTATAAATCCAATTATTGGAAAATAGTTTTTCATTACATTATTTATAACACTGGGCTCAGTATTTTTCTAATTTCACAGCTGGGATAATTTGATTAAGTATTCTGTTCAGTGTCACAGCTCTGAAGCTGAGATCACTGTCATAAAACTAGACTAGGCTGACACTGACTCGAATAATAATTTTAATATTATTAAAGTAACAGATGAGTCTGTATTTGTAGATAACGCTGAATATACAGTAATAATGTTTTCAGGTGGAAGGAGGATTATACTTTACCTTGAAGACATAATTAACCTTTAACCATATATTTAAGAACGAGAAATGTTTTTACGCACGACTTAGAAGATGAAGAATCGATCTATCTGTCTTCATAATACAGTCTATTTTCATCACAAATTTCACAATAGACAGGCAGAGATACTATGGAACTTATAATATTAGTACAAATATAATTCAGTTTAGAACTTTTATGCTGCCGTCAGTCCCTGAAAATTAAGCGATTATCCAATTTTGATTGTAAAAAAATGGGATTTTTACAGTACACTGATCATCTTGTCTATTTTTACTACATAAAACTAAAATACAATTTATTTAGCTGCTTATAAAATTAGAAAATTCGATAGAAAATTTGAATTTGAATAAAGTCAAGATTCTTTCTCAGTTATGAAATTTGACTACAGCAAATGTTACTTCGACAGATAATCAATTTTGTAAAATAAAATTTCCTCATCACCATCACCATCACTCTTCTTACTCTGGCACATAAGAGGTATCGTATGACGTTTGTTTCAGACGAGTTTTCTCCCATGCATACTCAGATTGAAGCATAAACTACCTGCAGAGGTTAACTCTACTGACAACAGCATGGGGTTTTTCAAGAATGGTATAATAAGATATTTCAACGCGCACGTGACATCCCTGGTATTTCATGCAGTCAGTCAATAGGTTACAGTAACCGTTTATCATCAGATGGGTCGTATGCTTCACCATTGTGGCATAAAAAAAATAAATTTACGATTTAGCAGATTTTATGTCTGTTATATAGCAAGTCACAACTAAAACGATCAAATGGTCTATTTATGTTATATGTTTTATGTATATAAACTTTTCAATCTATTGCTAAAAACTTAATCAAGAAGAAAAGATCTAAGATAACAAAACAACAGGCAGCGGAAGTGACTTAATTTACACTATTAATAAAATATCGTATATAACTGGGTTACATAATAAATTACCACATAAGAAGTCATAGAATACACGTAAGTGCCATATAAACTATAAATACCTGCTAGTAACTTCCAGTAATCCCAAACTTGAACAGACGAATTAATTCCCCATCTTTACTTTTACTACTTACCTTTCACTCAAGGTTATGCCAAAGTCCGTAAGCTCCCTGAAGGCAGAATAGGTAATAGTCCTTCGTAGCCAGGAGGCAATATCTGTGAATAAAACTAACTCGTATTTCGTAGATAATTGAGTTCGACCCTAGCTCAGAAGGTTCACCTTTCGATTGGTATGAAAGTATATTATATTGGATGGCACATCTGCCTCATAAAAGATACAACGAAACGAAAGTTATTCATCATACCTCAAATAACCTTTATGTAATGTTTACACCTATTTAAATAAATTTCACTTTATATATTGTTTTACAGATAAATTAATTTCAATTTGGAAATTTGATTATAAAAACTAATGTGGAAGTATACCAATAAATAAAATGTAGTCCAATTGAGAACCCCTTTTTTAAATCAGTTGCAAAACTAAGTGAAGTCAGACAAGACAAGAGTGAAATCGCAGTCTGCGGTCACAAGGGTGAAACAAAAATAAAACTTGTATAAAATTAAGAAATAATTTTTAGAATATCGAAAACTATATTTTATTCGAATATTATAAGAGACTAGTTTTGTAGATATAAGACAGTCTATGTCTGTTCTTACGATAAAATCTATCTTCATGCATCTATCTACATTCATCTATTAAATTTCAATAAAATTCATTCATCCGTTCGTTCATGAAAATATAAAAGACAGATGGACAAACAGTCAGACAGATGCACTTTTGAATTAATTATATAAGTATCAATACAAATCTATAGGATTGATCACAATAAAATACAAATACTTTTAATAACAATTTGAATACAGACATGAATAATTTATTATCTATCTAATCTAGGCAACATAACTACGCAACAAAATTATACAATTAATTTTACAATACATTCAACTATATTTTATACCAATATCGATAGATATTTGTTATTGTTTACGTACATGTCGTAAAATTACTGTATTCCAAACATTATTTCCATTTATGTTTACATTGTTACCCCATGTCGCTTCTTGACATGTTCGCAACTGAATGACGATAAAACATAAAAGATTCCGCGTAACTGCCCGCATAAATCCGCAAACGCGCAAAATAACGTCTCGAGTGTTTTATATTACATCAATAAAACGCTACTATCGGAGACGGTCGTTCGTCTCTTGCAATCTGCGGTTAAGCTGCATACAAAGTGTGTATACGGAATTCATAGCATTTGAAAAAAGAACGCATATATTAAATTATTAAATTTTGAAAACAGAACACAACAATGTTTTTGTAATTCCATATAAAGAAACTGTTTTCATTGGGAAAGCAAACGTTAAATTAAAAGCATTTTTAATTCCTAAATTAAATACAAATTTTTACTAAATAAATAATATTTGAGATTATTACCATAACAAATAAATATTAATAGTAGAAAACTACGGATATATTTTACTTTATACAATGTACTCTTAGTCTTAGTTAAAACAATATTGTTATCAATTTAAAATATACAACAATTTATCTTTATCAGCCTATAAACACATTTATAAAAATAATTGAACAGATTTATAAAAATAACCGTAAGTACACATTTTTGTCTAACATAATTATAAATTCTCTAATATGAGCACTTAAATGTCTTTTAAATTTAGAATATTCCTGTTTAAAATAGATATTAGATATAATGTTTAATTTTGTGAATAATTAGAACACAATATATAAATTTCACTGTTAAAATAGTTATAATGATTTCAGACATTATTAAGAAACTATTATTAGAACTACTTACTACATTCATCGTCAAATTAATTGGAAATTACCTCAAATAATAATTTGTTAAGCATTAAATACCTAAATACTGGTCGAAAATATCTATACATACATAATATATAAGTCATGGCTGTCTGTACATCATCATCATTACATAGTATAAAACAAAGTCGCTGACGCTGTCTGTCCCTATATATGCTTAAATCTTTAAACTACACGACGGATTTCTAAGCTGTTTTTTTTTAATAGATAGTGTGATTCTACAGGAAGGTTTATATGTATACTACATGTACACCCGGACGAAGCCGGGGCGAGAAAAAGTAATATAGGAAAACTTTAACATCGCAATAGAATACCAAGTTTTGATTATTAAATTGTATGTCTGTTTATACACAGTAACAGTACAGTGAGGTTTTCATTGACGTATATTAAAACTAAACGGGTATGTAGCCGCAAGCTTAGCAAGTCCAATAAATATGAATTCGGAATATATTCAAGTATTAACAATTTATGTAAAGTGAAGAATTTCTCTGAAAATTGAAAACTAGTATCTAAATTATGTATGTAAATTCCAGGATAGTTATTTATATAACAATTTGAATTTGTATTAGTATGTATAAGCCCTTAGGTTTTACCAGGTCAAACAAGAGGCGAGTTAACAAGTAGGTACGTATATGCTATTGTGATAGCATTATTAAGGCTCCACTTAAAAGGTTTCTGACGTTTATTGCAAGGGACCGCCATAGCCAAGTTTCCATTAACCGCATGATTTTCTCGCACTTTCTCAATTGAGTTATTGTGTACATTGCTTCAA